GTATATCAGAATTTATGAATTCGGAAACGGGTCTTTAACGTTGATTTCTTCGTAGAGGTGCATTTCGGGTCTTCCATAAGAAGACATTCGGGACTTATTGGTCTTCTATATAAAATTACCGTCTCTGTTCATCATAAGAATACTTTTGCGTCTTCTAAAGTAAGACCTCCTGGGTCCTCTATAAGAAGGCATTTTTGTCTACTATAAGAAAACCTGGTTCGTCATCATTACAAGACCTTTGGCTCTCTTCTATTGGAATACCTTTGATGTCTGCTGTAAGAGGGTATTCTGTGATAAGGTCTTTTAGATCTTCTATAAGAAGATATGTTGGATCTTTTATAAGAGGGTAGTTTTTGGTCTTCCAAAATAAGACACTCTGGTTCACGTTTGGATCTGTAATTGGAAGAACTTATACCCAACTTTAAGAATATCGCCCGGTCTTCTGTAGGAAGACCTTTTGGCTCTACTGTAAGAAAACTCATTTTGGATCTTCCATAGATCTTTTGGGATCTTCCTAAATCTTCTATAAGAAGGCTTTTCTAGATCTTCTGTAGAAAGAGTCTTTGAGTCTTTGGACCCAATATGTTTGTCTTCAATGTAGATCCATTTCTGACCTTCCATTCATTGATTAAAACCACATTCTGTTTATTTCTTGCTTCAATTCAAATATAATTACGGATTAAAAGTTGTCATAATAGCCGTAGACCCTCAGACCCCCTCATCAGCTGACTGTCGTTACGACAAAATAATCAACACACTTTGCAATTAATTTTCAATACGACGTTTTTTTTTTCTTCCCATTGTTTTTGTTACGTTCCATTTTTCCAGCCTCCCTACATTCAAGCTCTATTCACCATTAGTGTTAGTCCAATGATGGTTGACGGACTAAACCAACCTCCCTTTCGTCCGCCCCCTCTATTGATTTGCAAACAAATAAAAATTGAATCGATTGATTGTTGTGTGTGTGTGTTTCCTTCTTCTCGACGCTGTGTCTCTGCAATTTTTTATTCTTTACAAAACACAATTGCTTTGTTGTTGTTCTTGGGGTATGCTTTTTTGTTTGTTGGGGTTTTTAATTTTCTATAGAACAACAACAAAATAATTAAATCAGAAACAGTGGTTTGGATGAACAAATGTATTGGGCCCTGGAAAAATATTCTTTAAATAATCCACGCCTTGCCTAAGGCCTTTCCAAAAATATTCTTTAAATAATCCACGCCTTGCCTAAGGCCTTTCCAAAAATATTCTTTAAATAATCCACGCCTTGCCTAAGGCCTTTCCAAAAATATTCTTTAAATAATCCACGCCTTGCCTAAGGCCTTTCCAAAAATATTCTTTAAATAATCCACGCCTTGCCTAAGGCCTTTCCAAAAATATTCTTTAAAAAATCCACGCCTTGCCTAAGGCCTTTCCAAAAATATTCTTTAAAAAATCCACGCCTTGCCTAAGGTCTTTTCAAAAAAAAATCTTTAAAAAATCCACGCCTTGTCTACGGCAATAAAGAATATTCTGAAAAATTCCCCTAAGACCACTGTCCTCTGTTATAATTATTTAATGTCATTCCGTTTTTATTCGCTTCCCCAACAAATTGTTGCCGATTATTAGATCTCGCTTTTCCTCAATCGATTAGTTTCTCTTAAAAAGTGATTAAACTAGGTTGTGGTTAGCTTGTTGGCTGGTAATTGATTGATTCATGGATTCTAGTTTTTCTGTTCCGCCGTAATTTTCAATCGGTGATAATTGTGCCACAATAACAAAGTCTGAATTACATAAAAATTTTTTTTTCTAAAACAAAAAATTCTAAGTTTTTTCTAAGAATGAAAAACTAATTCTCAGAATTGTAATGCAGTTACACTGCATTTCAGACTCAGTCGAACTTCGTTGTGGATGTGGGAGCACGAACATGAATGCATTTATTTCTATTTCAATAAAAATGAATTCTGCCATTTCTCGTTCCCCCTTTTCAATTCAAAATCATTGCTTCTAATTTTCAAGTTCAACCACCCTCGCTCGTACAATCGAAAATAGATGCATCATTCCGCTCCATACTCGTGTTAGCTATTGCTGTTGTGTACTTGAAACCAACTATGGTCATAGCCATACTAGCATGCAAAGGTGTTTCATTCACCTACCCCTTCACACCTCCCTCCTTCATACCTTCACACCTCAGCAATGATTAACATTTTATCGCTCATCATAGCATTTTCCACCCACATAGACAGTTTAGGCAAATCCACCGAAAAGGCAATAATCTATTCAATCAATAACAACAACAAAAATCGGATCATTAGCTGCTCAACTTTAATTCAAATCAGCTAATAGCTTTTTCAAATATGACCAATACCAAATATAGATACTAATTCGAATAATAATCCAATGTCAGGATTTTTTAAAAAATATTTTTGGGGACCTACACAAGGCGGGGATTTTTTAAAGAATATTTTCTAAAAGGCCTTAGACAAGGCGTGGATTTTTTAAAGAATATTTTTGAAAAGGCCAACCGAGGCGTGGATTTTTTTAAATATTTTTTGAGGGCCTACAAAAAGTGTGAATTTTTTAAAAAGTATTTTTTCAAGGCCTTAGACAAGGCGTAGATTTTTTAAAGAATATTTTTGAAAAGGCCTTAGACAAGGCGTGGATTTTTTAAAGAATATTTTTGAAAAGGCCTTAGACAAGGCGTGGATTTTTTAAAGAATATTTTTGAAAAGGCCTTAGACAAGGCGTGGATTTTTTAAAGAATATTTTTGAAAAGGCCTTAGACAAGGCGTGGATTTTTTAAAGAATATTTTTGAAAAGGCCTTAGACAAGGCGTGGATTTTTTAAAGAATATTTTTGAAAAGGCCTTAGACAAGGCGTGGATTTTTTAAAGAATATTTTTGAAAAGGCCTTAGACAAGGCGTGGATTTTTTAAAGAATATTTTTGAAAAGGCCTTAGACAAGGCGTGGATTTTTTAAAGAATATTTTTGAAAAGGCCTTAGACAAGGCGTGGATTTTTTAAAGAATATTTTTGAAAAGGCCTTAGACAAGGCGTGGATTTTTTAAAGAATATTTTTGAAAAGGCCTTAGACAAGGCGTGGATTTTTTAAAGAATATTTTTGAAAAGGCCTTAGACAAGGCGTGGATTTTTTAAAGAATATTTTTGAAAAGGCCTTAGACAAGGCGTGGATTTTTTAAAGAATATTTTTGAAAAGGCCTTAGACAAGGCGTGGATTTTTTAAAGAATATTTTTGAAAAGGCCTTAGACAAGGCGTGGATTTTTTAAAGAATATTTTTGAAAAGGCCTTAGACAAGGCGTGGATTTTTTAAAGAATATTTTTGAAAAGGCCTTAGACAAGGCGTGGATTTTTTAAAGAATATTTTTGAAAAGGCCTTAGACAAGGCGTGGATTTTTTAAAGAATATTTTTGAAAAGGCCTTAGACAAGGCGTGGATTTTTTAAAGAATATTTTTGAAAAGGCCGTCTTAGACAAGGCGTGGATTTTTTAAAGAATATTTTTGAAAAGGCCTTAGACAAGGCGTGGATTTTATAAAGAATCTTTTTGAAAAGGCCTTAGACAAGGCGTGGATTTTTTAAAGAATATTTTTGAAAAGGCCGTCTTAGACAAGGCATGGATTTTTTAAAGAATATTTTTGAAAAGGCCGTCTTAGACAAGGAGTGGATTTTTTAAAGAATATTTTTGAAAAGGCCGTCTTAGACAAGGCGTGGATTTTTTAAAGAATATTTTTGAAAAGGCCGTCTTAGACAAGGCGTGGATTTTTTAAAGAATATTTTTGAAAAGGCCGTCTTAGACAAGGCGTGGATTTTTTAAAGAATATTTTTGAAAAGGCCTTAGACAAGGCGTGAATTTTTAAAGAATATTTTCGAAAAGGCCTTAGACAAGGCGTGAATTTTTAAAGAATATTTATGAAAAGGGCTTAGACAAGGCGTGGATTTTTTAAGGAATTTTTTGGAAAAGGCCTTAGACAAGGCGTGGATTTTTAAAAGAATATTTTTGAAAAGGCCTTAGACAAGGCGTGGATTTTTTAAAGAATATTTTTGAAAAGGCCTTAGACAAGGCGTGGATTTTTTAAAGAATATTTTTGAAAAGGCATTAGACAAGGCGTGGATTTTTTAAAATGCCTTAACCAAGGCGTGGATTTTTTATAGAATATTTTTGAAAAGGCCTTAGACAAGGCGTGGATATTTTAAAGAATATTTTTGAAAAGGCATTAGACAAGGCGTGGATTTTTTTATAGAATATTTTTAAAAAGGCCTTAACCAAGGCGTGGATTTTTTATAGAATATTTTTGAAAAGGCCGTCTTAGACAAGGCGTGGATTTTTTTTAAAAATATTTTTGAAAAGGCCTTAGACAAGGCGTGGATTTTTTAAAGAATATTGTAGACCTATAAAAATATTTTTTGTTCAAATCCTCATTTATCTTTTTCTTTAATTTTCTAATCAAATTCTTTATTTTTTCTATTTCCAGTGAAAATTGTTAAGCTCATGTGAATCCTGAAATACGAATGACGATAAGAAGATCTAAATTACAAGTACATGACACATTTAGTCCTTACCAAATTACATTGTGTGGCGGAGAGCTAGACAAATGATATTAATTCCAAAGAAGAAAACGACGTTGATGCTGTAAAATCTCCAAATTGAATCAACAAATTCAAAGTACTTAACAAAAAAATTTGCAGTAAAAAACCAAAATCACAGATCTTTTTCCCCATCCACCGGCCACCACTTCACACATAACAAGTGTCTGGATTGTTGCTGAACTTCTTGTGTTGCATGCCTACTAACACAGCCAGCTTCGAATTGCGTGTCCCATTGCCACATTTCTTCTTATTTACAAAACAACAAATTGTGGCCTGTGGCAAAAATAGTCGTCGGGACTTTGGAGGCACTGACTACTCTCACAATTGATTAAATCGCAGCCGTTAGAGCTTCAGTGCAAACTTTACATTTAAACGACGACCAACAGCAGTTCCAACGAACCAAACAACCAGTCAGCAACATGTTGGATGATGACAACAATGATTTGTTGGCTTCGGCTTCAGAAATACAACGCAGTAAGTAAAACAAAACAAAAAACATAAAATCATTTTTTTCGAAACGGCAAAAAATCCCCTCCACTAAAATAGACGTGGCGAACGAATAGGTCATTGATTATTTTCGTGTTGTTATTTGTTTGTTGTGTCGGAAAACATGAATGAAAATTGAAATTGTGTTGCGGGCGTTTGAATTTATTTTCTTTGTGACGAATTCTTTTTCGTTTTTTTTTATATTTTTTTATTTTGAGTCATCGGTGTTTATTTTCAAACGACAAAATGGGATAGGTTTTTTCGACTCATGTTTTGGAGTACAACCCTTCTAGGAAGCGCGTTCATTCAGGAACAAAGACCAAATTCCCCCAAAATAAGGACTAATAAGCCCTCATGATAGTAGGGCTTTTATAGGAATATATTTCGAGTCCTAAGCGTAGATTTTTCAATGAGGATCCCTAAACTCGGATTTGGAAAGTTTAGGGATCCTTTCCAAATCCGAGTTTAGGGATCCTCCGATTGTGAAAAGTGTGCTAAGCTAGGGTTTTTAAAGCGCCCTAAATTCGGACTTTTAAAGGAGCTCGTATTTTTAAAGGAGTTTTAAGGTTGATTTTACAGTGTGAATTTTTAAAGAAATATTTTTCAAGGAACAAAAGCGTTGATTCTTTAAAGGAATATTTTTCATGGGCCATAAGCGTAGATATTTAAAGAAATATGTTTTAAGGTCCATAAACGTGGATTTTTTTAATAAAATCCTTTTCAAGGATCATAATCATTGATTTTTTCCGAGAAGATTTTGTGGAAATTATTAAACACCTTTGCAGAAAATTGTCACAATTGATCCATGATTTGAAACATCAAGACCTTCCCAATTTTCGATATTTTGCGAGTTGGAACTGGATTTCTCCACTGCTTGTTTAATATAGGATCACATATCGCTTAGTCCCCATAAAACGGCAACGCACCATTTTCTGCATTGTAAATGCTTGGTTTTCCCATTCCCAATATAGGTTCATTTATCGACATAGCCCCCATATAAAAGCCCTGGCCCATTTTAGGATTTTGTAAAAAGGTATTTGTAGGTCTTCTGACTTCAGATTCCTTAGGAAGATCTTCTATGTATAAAATACGTTTTGATTTGATTCTCCGAGAGGTCCATTAGAGGATCTTGTGACTATAAATGGATTTTAAATGGTCTTAAATCTCAGAAAATATTCTGAAAATCTTCTGTAAATGGAAGACTTGTGGTAAGTCTTATGGATCCTTGGAAAATCTTCTAGATTGTAGGAACACTTTTCCAGTGCTTGTGACTTTAGGAGAACATAGGAAATCCAATTATCTATGTAATGTCTTAAATGCATACATTATGATAATGACTTCATGTAGAATAACTTCTATTTAGAAGTGAAATTCCAATGTTTTAAAAGATTTTATACCATCAGCATTATGGCTAATAAAGGGTACTGCGAAAATTTGCATGCTTCTTTGGACCAAATCCGTTTCAGACAATTTGGAGTCGATTAACAAATGTCCGTCTGTCTATCTGTTTGTCCGACAGGTACGTTGGATTAACCGATTTCATCCAATAGTTCTTCCAAACTTAGATTAAGTTCGAAGATGAGGATATCGGTTCAATACTTGTGGTATCTCCCTATTATTATCTACCTAGCCTTGACTTTTGTCTCTACCTAGCCGAGATTAAGTCCGAATGTAGAATCCATTGGTACACTTCTTCTGCTACCTCCACCTCAAATGGCCAAAATTTGCAATATGTATAAATCCAATATCAGGCGAATAGAATGCCCGGTTGGCACCAAATTTTGCACAACCTATTATCTCTACCTAGCCTAGATCAAGTCCGAAGATGGAATCCATTGGTCCATTTCTTCTGATAACTCCCCACAAATGGTCAAAATTTTCAGTGTTTATAAATCCAATGTCAGGCCAATGGAATGTCCGATTTGAATCAAACTTTGAACATCCTATTATCTTTACCAAGCCAATATCAAATCTGAAGGTGGGGCCCGTCGACCCTCCCCTTCTGGTACCTCCCCCACTAAGGGTCTATATTTTATAAGCTTGTAAATTTAATTTGGGAGTAGAAAAATAAAAATCTAAGCGAATAAAAAAACTTGTGTGTAATTTCGAAGTCCTCCGCAAATCATAGCAGAGGGTATATATCGGGCGGCAACACCGACTAACACTTCTTCACTTGTTTAAATGAACATATTCCAGTAACAATACATCCTTGAGGGGTTTTGAAGAATATTTTTCAAGTCATAGGCGTGAATTTTAAAAAAAGATCGGATTTTTAAAGGGCTCGACTTTGTAATAAATCCAAAAAAAGAACCCAAATTTGGATTTTGGATGTAGTCCTAAGATAGGATCTTTAAAAGAGCTAGTTTTTACAGGAGATACAAGCTCAAATTCTTCAAATGTCATAAGCATGATTTTTTCCAAGGAGCCATAATCTCAGTTTTTTAAAGGTGACCTAATCTCAGCTTTTTAAAGAGTTCCAATTTCGAAGATGTAAAGTTGTCTTAAGCTCAGATTTTCAAAGGAGCTCTAAGTTCGGATTCTTAAGCCCAGATTTTCAATGTAACCCTAAGCAGAGTTTTTTAAAGGAGCTCCAAGTTTTCCAAATCCAAAAAAAAAAGTTCCCTAAAAAACGTGGGATGATAAATGAATATTTTTCCAAACCTATGCGTGGATATTTAGTTTTGAGTAGACAGATAGGGTTTTTCAGAAGTAGATTTTTCCAGTACAAAGTAGATTTTTCAAGTCCCAAAGCTTGGGTTTTCTAAAAATATTTTCCCAGGCTTTGAAAGTGTGGATATTTCAAAGAATATTTTTCACGAATCAGGACCTTCAGAAAAACTTCCGACTATAGAACACATTTCAAAATTCCTTTAAAATTTCCTTTAAAAATAAACACAAACCTTAAGCTCGGATTATTAATCAGCCATAAGATCCGGTTTTAAAAGAGCCCTTAACTCGGATTTTAAAGGAGTCCAATGCTAAGATTTTAAGTTAAGACCTATGGTTGGATTTTTAATGTAGCCCTAAGTTTGGCTTTTTAAAAGAGCCATACGTTGGAATTTTTAAAATTTCAGCCCTAAGATTGGCTGTTTACAGGAGCCTAAGTTCGGATTTTTAAAGGAACCCTACGTCATACGCTTTGATTGTTAAATTTAAGCTCTAAAAAAAATCCCCAGGCTAAGAAATTGTGTATATTTCAAAAGATTTTTTTCTTCAAGGCCTTCAGAAAAACTTCCGATTATGGAACATATTTAAAAAAAAAAAAAGATCTTTAGCCTAAAGGAGGCATTTGGAAGGTACTATCTATGTAATCTTTTTATAGACTTATGGAAGGTCTTCTAGGCTAATCTGTTGTTGGTAGGCTGTGTATGTATTCATTCGTTTATCCATAGAAGACTTATAGTCGGCATTTCATCAATAGAATAGATATAGAAAACCTTAAAGGTTTTATGGACCTTCAAGAGACCTTTGAGGGATATCATATCGTTCTATCAGATATATTATCCATTTGAGACTTCTTATAAATCCGTATAAAATATTCCACCTGAAGTAGACCTGTCAACGACTTTACTGTTCTTTAAATCCAATTAAAATCCTATAAAAGTACATTTCGATGACTTTAAGTGAAAAGGCAATAAGTCCACTTTTTCTATAAATTGAGATTTCTAAACAGACATGTTCAATATGTAAAAATACATTGATTTCCAACCATAGAAGATCTGTGGAAAGCCTTGCTATTCTGTAAAATATCTCTGGAAGGTATTCTGTTTCTGGAAGGTCTGCTTTGTGTAGAGAACTTACTGAAGGTCTTTTATAAATGAGAGTCGTATAGAAACACCAACTGAAGCTCTTGAGTATCTTCAAAGGTTTTTTTTTTAATATGATGATAAGCTATATTAATGTAGCGAATCTGATTATAGCTATGGGAAACCCATAAAATGTATTTCATCTACAAAAAATTGTCTACAGAGGACATTAAACGATATCCCATATAAATTCCACATAGATGAGGGTCTGTCCTCCTAACATCTTCTAGATACATGTTTCTAAATATCTACACGATTTCCTGATTAAAGAAGAATATCTGGTTTAGAAGACCTACTCTTTCTATAACTCCAATCAGGAATATACAGAATAATTGAAAAAAGTGTTGTATCCTTGTTCGGTCCTTGGTTCAATCTCTAATCCTATTTGTTTTTTTAAGTATTTCCTTGATACCTTTTCTTCTTCGTCTACTTCCTTGGCTAAAAATTATATACTTCTTTTCAAAATGATTTATATGCAAAATAAAAATGAAAATACTCCTTTTGAACTTCTTGTCGTCGTGGTGGTGATGTTGATTCCTTGCCATGTGTGGAGGTGGTAAAGTCGTTGTTATCCAATTTTTTGCATATACCCCGTAATGTATATATTTTTCCAATAAATTTTATTAGATTTAACTACATGCATGTATTTCTCAGACACACACATATATATACATCTCTTCAAAGACATACTATTGGTTGATGTGTGTGTGTACCAAGAACACATATAGGAAAAAGGTGATAGTTGTTGGTTATTCAAGAAGTGTATCGAGCAGCACGTGAATGCAATGTCGTCGTTGCGGAGGAGGTGTGGTGTGGCAGGGTGGTGGTGTGATGAGGGGGTCTTTTGCTGTTAGTTATTAGGTTTCCAATAAGCGTGTGTGGCAGCAGCAACACCAACAAGCAAATAGTATATCAAACAAACTATTAGCCCCTCGCCTTTTTGATGTGGTGGTTCTGGAGGAGGAGGAGGAGGACGAATGAAACAATCGACAAAATACAAAGCTTAGTGTGTAGACTAAATGTTATAAATAGTAGAGATGGTATGTCACATATGCAGGTTATTTATATTTTTGTGACATTTACAACATTTGTATAAAATGTCAATTTAGAAAAAACAAGTCAAGAAGTGTTCAGTCGTTTTTTTATTAAATTTAAAATTTTTTCAAAATTGTGACGTTGTGT